AAATTAGAATTTAATATTTTTAAATCATGAATTGTGGTTGAATTTGGTTTGAATCTTAACCCATACTAATGAAAAATAGAAATTATTGAAAGACAGTGATACTTAACGAGAAGGGATGTCTTGAAATATTGGAAGGTTGACAAATGCACTACGAGAATTTAATATTTTCAATTTTGAAGTATAAGGATATTGATGTGGCTCAAAAAAATTTGTATGTTACTTGACATTTGTTATGATCACTGTGCAACGCTCAGTGCTAAGGACTATTTTCATTTAAATAGAGGATCCGGGGAATGTGTTGGACATGCTTAATCTTTCATATCTCATAAGAGTTTGAGTGGGTAAGCATTGTTAGGGAGAGTTGGTTTACTTCTTGAAAGTAGACTGCTATCTGGTTTGTATAAGCATTATGGTATTGTCGTTGGTTAGTTATTTGTTAATTGTCTTTTCAATAGAACAATGTTTTGATTTCTATCAAACTTGTCTGATTTCATCATATATTGTCCATTTCTTATCAAAAGTTGTCCACTTTCTGTCAGCTTATAACTTCATTAGCAAGCGAGCATTATGTAAAATAATAAAAGAACTTTCTCTGAGAAGATTTGCTGACAATTTCCATTACTTAAATGGCCAAGGAGTTTGAAATCTGGGTATGTGGTTTGTGGGATTCTAAGTTACTAGATTATGATTCCATCAATCAATTGTCAAGGAAGGGTGTCAGATTTGGTTGTAGGGTTTGCCCATTGCTTAGGGTTTCTTAGGATAACGGTTCAAGTAAGATTGCTGCTAATTGTCATAAAAATCGATTCTATAGCTGTTTTATCCGTACAGAAAAAGGACTAATTGCAGATTTATATAGGCTAAATGTTCTGGGGATGCATGATTAATATATAGAGGATTATGTTGTGAAAAGCGTGCCTAGGCGCCGAGGCGCATAAGGCGCAAAGGCCTGGGCTTTTTCCTTGTCGAGGTGAGGCCTGTAACTGAGGCGCACCAAGGTGCAGCAGCGCCCTTGGCTTAAAAATGCGCGCATAATGCGCTCTGATGCGCCGGAGGAAACACATCAGATGGGCTGATGCGTTGCGATTCCATGATGCGCTCACATCACCTATGCATCACACGATGCGTGCATCACCTATGCATCAGCGCATCCTATATGTTTCATATTTGGGCTCCCTTTTTCAGTTTTTAGTTGGGCTTTTTAGTTGATTAAAATAGAACGTGAGACTGAATGGTAACCTAATAGAAGAAGCCGACAACGACTAATAGAAGAAGTAGAAGTCGCACTCACATATCAATCAATGAGAGGGAGATGAACCTGTGTTGGGGTTTGATGATGCTGATCTTGGGGAGTATTAGTTGGTCACTTGGTCATTTAGTTTAACGATTGGGGATTATTAGACATTTACTTGTGTTCTTCATGGTAGTAGTTTGTGTGTTCTGTTATTCCGATTCACGAACTTTTTAAGATTCTAATGCCACTTTTTGAACTACTTTATGTTATAAATGAAGTATTTTAATAGGTAAGTATTTTTAAGGTAGAAATTGATATGTAGAATTAATTTATAAATATTTTTTGAATACTGGGCGCATCACGTGCGTGATGCGAACGCATCAGCATCACGCATTGGCTTCCGGGACCCATACCGCCTCGGACCGCATCGCGCTTTTTAAAACCAAAGCAGCGCCTTGGCTGAGGTGTAGAATGGGCTTAGGCGCACCTTATAGAGATCTACCCTAATTTCAATTAATCTTTTTGTCTTTTAGACTTCTACAAAGAGGAGTTATTATATAAGTCAAAACCTGATATTAATTATGTTCTTTAACCTCCTAGACTTCTACAAAAAAATAGTTATCATAAAGTTTATTCAATTCTCTATTCAATTATATATTCAATTCTAATCAGTCATCTTCTATAAATACCTCCAATACATTATACTCTCCCTTGATTATCGACCTATTAGTCAAGACTTTATTAAGATATGTTTGATATTACTACTTTTTGGAAATTGAAATTGGACTATGTTTTTTATAATGGTATTTGAGTTGATATAACTACTTCATATATAATGGTATTTCATATTCGAGTTGTGTATTACTATGTGTGTGTGTATATTAAACTTTTATATGATGCGCCTCGCATTCGTGAGGCCCGCCCCTACGCCTCGCGCCTATGCCCCAGGACCCCTTTATGCCTAAGTACGCCTTGCGCCTTTAACAACTTTGCTTAATGGGCTTCAATGCTCAGTTGAACCCTTGGGTTTCCCATGTTCTTGCTAGTACATGTTTTTAGAAGTTCTACATAATTAAAAATACACCTTGTGTCCATGTTTTGCTTGGTACCTCGCTTGCTTGGCAAACGTTTATATAGCAAGGTGGTGTCTTCTTGGTGGGTTTGTCGTAGAATCTTCTATTTTCCTCACCCACATAAATCTGAAGTTTATGAATGATGCCTAATTCCTTGTATTAATTTATGTGGTTTATGGTGTGACTGATAATTGATGCTCGAGATGGCTGTCATGTTAGTTAATGTGCATTTCGTTTTATCTTGCATTGACCGTTGTGTCCCCATCCTCAAAAACTGGAAAATGGAAAAGACAAAATGGAAGACCTGGATAAAAAGGAAAATTTGTTTGTTTCTTGTTGTATGAGTTTTTGGCTACATGAAGTGTTTGAATACATCCTTCTTTTTTGTTTAATGGTTTATATAGTGCCAATAGAGGAGCGCACCGCCCGATCATGAATCTCCATGAGCGAAGCCTAAGCGTTTTGGCTTGTCGATATGTGGATGAGGTGATTATTGGTGCTCCCTGGGAGGTTTCAAGGGACATGGTGAGTTACATCTTAATATAGGATTTTTACTTGCTTTCCTTCACAAGATAGAGCATTTACTCATTCTGTCCTAAAACGAATTACATTTCGATGCTTGAGGCCGAACATATTACTTTGATTTTAAATCGAATGGATTTCTGTTACATTTTTTTGAACTTCTAACAGTTTTTTTTTTCAATTGTACTGCATCCTACCAATATGATATGGATGTGGATACCAAACCAAACCAAACGTGTCCAGTATATCCCAACGAGAAGTAGGTTCAGGAGGTAGGTGTTATGAAGAACGAACTAGCATTCGAGAGGCTAGGACTCCCCCAATTAGAACTCACTAATTTTCTGCATGACTCTACTACACCCAGACACTCCAATTTGACTAGCATAATAGGACTATTCTAGATTATTCTGGATATGACCCAGAAGCCCCCTCTGCTAACAGAATAATTCCCAAAAATACTAAAATACCCTTTCTAACCCCTTCTAAAATCTATAAGCTACCGATCGTCTTGGGCTTGGGTCAATGCATAACAGTAGGATGTGCATATAGGCATGGATATGTCAAATCCAAATATGCTGCAGGGATGTAGATATAAATATGGCCCTGAAATCATAATACATACTTTCACCAGATAGGATTTGGACAAATTTACAAAATTTTGAATATCCATTTACAACAAATGATTTCCTATTTACTTTTTTTGGTAAGATTCCTATTTCCTATTTACAGATTTCACCTGAACAGGCCAACCATGTCATCATATATCCTCGAGCAAGAGCCCTGCAGCCATTGAAGCCAACATCAATCAAAGTTCTCTAACTTTTTTCCGTCACTTTTGTAACAATGTGAAATTTGTTGTGATGCAGATCACAACCTTCAATATCTCTTTAATTGTGCATGGGACAGTGGCAGAAGATGATGATTTTGAAAAGGTATACAAAAGTTTGTGGATAGCGTTGTTTTCCCCCAATAACATGAGTTTGAACATCTTTTGACATATTCTGTGATTCACCTTGCAGAACGAACGCAATCCATATGACGTTCCAGAGAGTATGGGCATATTTAAAGTGTTAGAAAGTCCTCTGGACATCACAACCAGCACAATAATAAAGAGGATTGTATCAAATCATGAGGCTTATCAGGTTCCATTATTTCCCATGAGATGTGTCACTTCGTAAGGGGTCACTACACAAAATTTGTGCAGCAAACACCAAAAGCCCACGTCTTAAAACATCACTGGGTGTTTGTTACCAAATTTCCTACAGCTTGATAGCAATTATGAACAGCATTCACAAATCAATAAATATAATAACTTGGATGCTGTTGAAGCTAACTGTGGACTTGTGATTTTTTGGTTCAGAAACGTAACGAAAGGAAGGGAGAAAGTGAGAGAAGGTATTATGAGGGTAAAAGTTACGTATCGGGTGATTGATGTACTTCAAAGTGGCTGATGTATGAGTCGGGCGTATACGTACAACAGGAAATCAGATTTTTAAGGTATCTCTCTGAGTAGTGAATAGCTCTTCTCGCCAATACGATTTTGTTTTCGGGGTGTTGGGAGATGGGCAGTTGAATCTTGACTGCATATCTGCATGTAGGATTTATGTAGATTACTTTTAACCCCCACCCTGACCCTGCTGCTACTGTTGTTTCTTGATGCCCAAAGTTTGTGTTGTCTTTGTAATAATGATATTTTTGGATGTTATAAATGTATTCCTTTGATGTTATGTGATAAAAAGGCAACTTCTTGCTTTCTTCATCTTCATCTTCATCTTCATCTTCAACTCAACTCAGTTGTGATTATTTGCCTTGGGTTAGCGGACGAGATTTGACAGACGAGAGTGGGGTAGACGTGTGAAAGAATTGTGCAAGGTTTTAGGGTTTTAATTTGACTCGAGTATTTTAGTAATTTATCATTTTTGTTCCACCTGACAAAAATACATATTGTTTCTGTTCTGTTATGTTCTATTCTATCATGTACTAGTCTAATGGTACACCAAACGTGAAACAAGTTTTTGTTCCGAGTAATTTGATTGACCCGTTACAAACGGGGAGTTTGGTTCACAGATTCTGAAAGAATCTGATGGATATAGAATCTTAAATTCCATTGACCAAATTTCATTCTCTCGTTTGGTTCTTTCTTTTTTACGAAAGGAATATTCAAAATCTTATAAATTCCACAAATTAAGGGATTCAACATCATCGATCTGAACCACTACGGACCATCACCGATCTGAACCACCATTGACCAACGTTTATTTAGTAACGTCATTTGACTTATGGTTATATTTGGTTTATGTATTTTATATTGTTTTACATATTAAATAATTATTTTTTTAAAAGTATTTTTAATTTTAAATAAATTAAAATTTTCAAAAAAATGCATTTTGGTCTTTTACCAATATTTCGTTCCGATTCCAAAGCTACATTATGTGAACCAAACAAACAAATTACAATCCCTTAATAGATTATATTCCAATGTCTGCCAACCAAACCAAATAGGTAGTCAAACCTGACAACATTCCATCCAATTCCTTAAAAGTCAAATTTCTTTAACAAATTTCATTCCATCCAAAAATATTAGGTGAACCAAAATTTGGAAGAATCAAACACTTGAGTAATTGCAAGCCCACTTTAGAAACTCTTTTGCAAACTGATAGTCATTTACTTAGATGTAGGAGTGAGAATTAAATGGGTGACTAAAAAGAATGAATGATCCCATAACCAAAGAAAGTGTGTGCAAGACACCTTCAAGCTTTCATATTTGTACAAATGCTCTTTTTCCTACCTTTTAAAGAACATGTTATGTTGATCATAAATGGGCTAAAAAAATGGAGTTTGATCTCTTTCACTCAAACTTTTTATGTCCCCGATATTATTGTTTGAGGTTTGGAACATCGTTGTAACGTTGAATTTATGACCAAAACAACCTTAAATTAACCCCTCAAGGTTGCACTAACACGGATCTTCGACATCTCTCTCATTTTGAATCCAGAGCACCATTTGCTCCCCCGATGTTGGCTTCTATTAATGCGTTGTAAAACTCCCTACTAAAATTACAACATGGGTATTTCGTTTTAGACGCAAAATGAAAGGTTGAGCAGTAATCTGAAGGAACAAGAGTAGGAAGCTTAGAATGAGATATAGCCCCGTAACTATATCGAATTTCAGACGTTCTTTTTTTTTTTTTTATCATCATGTATTGAATTATGTTTGTTTGGTTGCAAAAAGGTCCACACATTCATTGAATCATCAGCAACCAAAGAAAGTATTTGTTAAGTCCCTTGACATCGATATGTACAAGGTCAGGGATGCTTAAAAACCCAACCCGATGTCTAATTGAGTTGTAAAATTTTCAAACTGTAAAGTATTGGGTTGATATCAGATTGTTATTATTTGAACGCAACCCAACCTAAGATGAACCCGATATCCTTTTATTTATTGAATTTAATATGATTGCTGAATTTCTATTAATATATACATTAGAAAATTACACTATCATGTACGTTCATCATATACACATATTTTCAATCTATTTACATCTCTATATTACTCATTATATATATATGCTCAATATTTGTGAACATATATATGTAAATTGAAAAAATTAACTGAATGTGATATACGTAAGAAATATGGATAAGTTATATCAAATGGTTGATGATGAAAAAGACATTATGAATAAAAAAATCTAATATACATATTCAAGATTAGAAAAATATTTTAATATAGAAATTATGGTTTTTTACCATCCATTTGCACATGGAAATTACATTTGTGTCCTTGGGTGTATGTTGAGTCTACAATTTGAAGTAGATTGACCAAGCACTTGGAGTTGACTTTTGTTGCATTATATATATATATATATATATATATATATATATATATATATATATATATATATATATATATATATATATATATATATATATATACTTGTTTTAGTTTGGGTGGGAAGAGGCTTAGCTTAGACAACACCTCCAATACCACTCAAAGTGTTCCATTTTATAATATAATTTTATGCATATAACCATTAATTATTCCTTATAACAACTTGTTAAATTAAATTCCAGACAAAATCCAAATCAAGATTTTACCACTTGATCTATCCTTTTACTTTGTTTTTAGTACATCTTTATTGTATACGTTGAATCTGTACTTCAAAATAACCGTATCATTTTAATTTTATATAGTTATCTGTTTGTCCACTATAAACATTTAAATCAAGTTATTTTCTCTACAAAATTTAGTTATTTTTTCTTTATTAAACCAATATTAGGCCAACCCGCATGTATTACGTTGGAATTAGATTAGAATCATTTGAATCCAACCCAACATGATGAACTCGACGCCCTTTTTATACTATGAATTTAATATAATTCTTGAGTGTTTTTTTATTGGCATATGTAAATTAGGCACTAGACCAATCTATAGTTAGCTATATTCAAAATTATATTACAATTTCAAATGTTACTTTACTTTCTTATTTACATGAACCTTTAACTTTCTTTTTTGAGTTTGTTAGTCTTTTTTGTATGTTATCATTTTGATTTTTATTTCTTTTAAACATGAACACTTGGCTAGATTGTAAAATGATATACCAAAGTTTCAATCCGATGATGATCGACCCGACCCGACCCAACACACACGGTTTGGGTTAGGTTGTTCAAATACCATAAACCCGGCCAACCCAATTGATGTGCAACCTTACGATTCATGTGTAGGTTTGAGATTAAAGATGATGATCAACGGTTCATATTTTTTCTTACGCTTCTTAGGTTAACTTTCATTGTCACACAATCATTCGCCTATTTAAATATCTAAAGTCAAATTTGTTAATTAAGCATATATGAAATGAAGTAAAAGAAGTTAAAATGTAGAATTGAAAAGCCATTTTATTCTTGAAGTAACATGCAATGCATGCAACATTCTTTAGTTTGTTTGTTTTTCCAAAAAGAAGGAATAGGAATAGGAATAGGAATAGGAATAGGAATAGATTCTTTTGGAATTAAGGGTTCAAAACATATCATCTTCCAACTTTTGCTTTTATTTTCTTTTTCTTTCTTTTTCCTTTTTCATCCTAAGCCCAACAATGATAATAATATCCTCTCTTCATTCATATTGATTATTCTTTCTATTCATATCTTTATTTCATTTACAAAACACTTCAATTTTTACCAAATGGTTTTTGGCCTAGCGTTATGTGAGTCTTTAGCCTTCTAGAAGGTCAGCGGTTCAAACCTCACCAAAGATGAGGAGGGTGTGCGAGTTTATTTGTTCTATTTGTCGTATATAAATATTATATACTTCAAAATTAAAGTGTCATAAGTTAGCTTATTTGGGTTTTCTTCAATTCTTTTAGATTATGTCTCTTATATTTTTCTTTTTAGGTCATTTTGTAGCATCGTCTGGTTTTTATCAGTTAAGTGTTAATTTGCCAAACCAAACATAGGTTTTAGTTGGGTTGGTGATAGTGAAGGTTGTAGGTCAAGTAATTAAGAATAAAAAGAAGGAATGAAAATGGAAGTGTATACGTAGTGGATATCATCATCAACATTGAATCTGGAATAAGCTTAAACCATGTCAACATCCATCCATAGCTTAATTCTTCACAGACATCTGAGTATAAAACGAGGTAGATTCTATCAAAAACACACCCACTGTTTCGCATTCGAACCTATATCCTTTTCCAATAACAACGTATACCATATTATTCGTCATCATGGTTACAGTGGTGGTGCCCGATTGGTTTGAGCTTGAGTTCCAAACGTCAAAAATGCCTGAGGTTCGAATCCGAATCCAAGGAGGAAAATATCCCCTTGTGGCCATGGAGGTTCAAATTCGCGGGTTGGATATCCAGGTTAATAAAAAAAAACTTAAACGGGTTAAATTTTGTATAATTAATTATTACTTTCTTTCTTAAAAGCATTTTTATGTTTTCAAACTAATATTTAAATCACAACACATATCATGTTTTTGACGTGTAGTTCAGTTGGTAAAGAGCCGGATCAACTTTGCTTAAATATAAGACAGGTCTTGGGTTCGATCCCCCCCCTACTAGTCTCAGTTGCTTAACGAGCCGAAAAATGTCTCTATTACATTGGTGTTTTTGGAGACAGGTTCTGTATGTGAGGTCGATTAGAATTAAAGAGCTGGAAGTGTTCTCTAATCAGTCCCAAGCTTTTTCAAAGCCGGCCATAACCGGACCCGGTCGAAAATGGTAAGACCGGTCAAGGTTGTTCACAACCAGTTATGGGCCGCCGGTCCCGATATTAAAAAAATAATTTTTAATTGATATATATTTTTAATATAAAATTTGTAATTGAGTCACTCAAATACACTTTGAAAATGCGTTTTATTATAATTAAAATTACATTGTCTTACAAAAATACATTATAAAAATTATTTGAAAATACATTTATTCATCAATCATCATCGCCGGTATCCCATATCGGATTGATTCGAAGAGTTCTGGTGTCTTGAATTCTTCTAATAGCCTCTTGATCATCAATGTCGAGTTCCTCATCATCGTCATATTGTGAGTAAGTGTCGTCGGTATCGGTTATTGACGGCGTGCTTAGTCCATTGACGATTTCATTTTCTTCCAAATTTTCTTCCACCGCTTCAATCTCCATTTCTAACGATGTCGTGTGTTGAATTCTATCAACGCTATCCAAATAATCATTCAAATAGATGCAACACTCACGGACTTATGGAAATAATCCTGCCAGTAAAAGAAAAAGCAGACTATAAAGTTA